TTGAAAGTAAGTATATACTGCTTTTGAATATGCAAAGATACCTTGAGGGGATGGTCTACTTAACGTTTCCTGCAATTTGTGTTGATGGGAGGAATATTAAAAAACAACAATGAAAGACGATAGATTCGTATAAAGACGGATGGTGCACCTCAATCATTGCCCATTTGTACAATACTTTTATACAAATAGGTGTTCTAACAACATTCCTAACATGTGGATATTCAGTATCTCTGTGCCAAAAGAACGCTTTAACCATTTAATATTTAAAAATATTTGAAAAATTAGGAGCTGGCTGCCTTGACATTATAAACAAACAACAGCTTAATAAAAAAAAAATCTTATGGGTGCGCTCTAGTTGGATATCTCGGACTTCATTTACCAAAAATACCCAAAAAGAAAATAAAAAGGTCCCGTCTACGATGCGCTGGAGATTTAAATTGTGAACCTGTTCTCTTTGTTTTACTATCCTAAAATTCCTCAGCATACCCTAAATCTTCGACCTCTTGCTTCCACTTCCTTTTGACCCTTTGCTTTCGTTACTTTCATTTATTATATCTATATATATTTTTTATATTTCACAGCCGCTACACGTTCATCCTCATTAATATTATTATTTTCTTTTCTAGCTTCCTGAAGAAAATGACTCTGCCCAAGGTTGCAAGAGAGTAACCAGGGCCGAGCGCGAGCCTAGAATGGAAAGAATGAGACACTGTTTGTCCTCTATTAAAGCTGAAGTCCTCTTTTTTCTCTCGTCTTCTTTCATTCACTGCAATATCTTTTGTCTTCGATCCTCTCAACGCTAAACATTGATTGCAACACGAAATGCATCTGTAGTCTGCGCAGCAGTGATAAAAAACGCACACGGATCTGCCCTCAAATACAAGCTAATTTTATTTATCCAAGGTTTTACAGGCAATGCAATGATCCCGTAAAATTTTGACAAACTCGTTATTTTTTTATTCTGGGGTGTGAAACTCAAAAAACAGTTGCGGGATTTGTTTGAGCAGAGAGGGGCATCGTACGTTGCGCATCACGATTGACTCTGAAAAGGAGGAGAGTTATTCATCAGTATGATCTTTTGGGCAGATTTCCAAGCACATAAGGTACAAGTAGAGCGTTTTCCTCTCCATTCTACGATGTGAGGGGCGTTGGGGAAGCGGATCTCAGGAAGCCTGTAGTTCTTGGTAACCTTTGGTCGTTTTTTGTAGCTACCGAGCGTTGGGGCCTGTCCGCGTGATGAGCAGACTTAGCCAGTTAACGAACGAGCTGATCACAAAATTCCCTATTTGAGAGAGTAGATCCAGATTTTTGGTTAATAATATGGGGGTTGATTATTGAGGTGTCTAATAGTCAGTAAAAGATTGAAATCCAGGTTCACCTAGAGGTTTGCTGGGTACTTTAATATAATTTCAATTGATCGGCAATATCAACGCCCCCCATGTTGAAGTTGTAGTCATTGATAACTTTGGGGATCCTCAAAGCATTTCTGGAGGAAGAGCCAAAGACCCTTTGTACTTTCGCTCCATGGGTACTCGTTATTCAAGGCCGGCGTCTTAATCTCGAAACCCCCCATTCCCCTCCAACCATCTCATGAATTGTGGTTAGCAACTTAACAGGTCCATTGTCGTGCCAGTAGACAGCCAAAACACCGCCTTGCACAACCTCGGAGCATGTATCTCAGTCTAATTTTATATTCCTATTCATTTGGAGCTCTTTTAGAGTCCTTGCTATGTTTCCAGCTGTTCCACCAATCTCTTGATCTCTGAAACGACACTTGTGAAAAAGTCATCTTTAAAGATATTGTACGCATGTCTACGATGAGGAGTTGCTGCACAAAGTGATTAACATAACTACTTGTTTCGGTGCTATTTAATTTGTGGGCAATACAAGGAATATTGCGCGATGTGGGCAAAAAGGCGTAAGCGTATCCACGATCGCAAAGGGAGAGAATTTTGTAGCCTTCTGGGATAGGCTTGATTTTGATACGACATGTATCAGAACTTCGACCTGAAAACCAGACCATCATCTCATCAACAAAGACGTTTGTTCCAGGCACATAAAGCTTCTTCGATGTAGCTTTGCATGTGTGAGTAAAGGCTCCAGTTTATCGGTGAGAGCCGGGTCACTTTGTTCGGATCAGAAATATGGAGGTACCATTTTATCTGCTCGCAACGAGTGAGCGGTATGTAATGTGAGATCTCATGAACTGGTTCGAATATGTCATGACTCTAACATTGCCTGAGAGACACCACTTTGTAGAGGCCAATGTACATTGTGATGGAAATCCAGGTCAAAAGTTCCCCTCGATCAATATCCGTCCAAGGACGGGCAGTGATCCCTGCTTTCTTAATTAAAGCATGGCGATTAGTGTATAATACAATTTTATCTAGCTTTGTATCGTTAAAAAAAAGGCGAAAGAGGTTGATGGGTGGTGAATTGTGCGCTAATTCGACTGTTCTCTGGCTTGTTTGTTCTTTTGAGTGGCTCAGATAGTGGTGGGGATGGCCAAGTGACTTAAGCTTGCGACTTTCTGCGTCTTCTCTTTCCTACTGTCGCCGTTGGCCTCACTTCTTCCAAATATTAGGGTTCTATTCCACTGCCAATCCTGAATAGAATGACACTATTAGTGGTATGGAGTTTGACGGACTGGAACAAGTCTGGCGCCGTCATGAGGCGAGATTTGTATAACAAGCGAATGTGAGGTTTCGTGTGGGGTATTCACTCAATTTGCCAACCTAAACTTTTTTTTTACCAACTGTTACACTATAATGAACCATCAGAATTTACGCGTGGCGAAGCCGTAATGTGCAGACGCGTTCACATACCCCTTTTTAATATGTGCTGAACCTACCCTATCACGATAGAATCACGGTAGGTTCATCAAGGTGTCAATCCCTTTGTACTTGGTCTATTATGAGTAAGGGTCACAGGCCTTAGAGATGTCATTGGTCTTGCAGCTCGTACATGCACAGCTTCAGTACTACATTTACCTCAACAAGAGTCAGCTTGCTTCAGTCCAGAACATGCTCTTTCCTTAGTCCATGATTGTCCAGAGTACCCTACAGCTTCCAACATCCTATTCACCTAAGGGCACCTGCAAGGGCTTATTCCTTCTTAAGTTGATATTAACATTGAGTATCACCACCATCTTCAAAGTAGAGTAATATTAGTTTTATTTCATAGATAATAGCAACATAACTACTGAAGCAACACTACTCTGCTTGCTTGCGCTAATTAGAAAAAGAAGAAGAAAGACGATCTTTAGAACCATTTGTACTTCGATATTAGGTGACATGGTAAACAGAATAAAAGGAATAGAAGTAATAAGAATAACAAAGAAACAATCGCAATGGGCTCTGGCTCAGAATGGATTTTCTCATCATCCCCAGTCTTATGTCATTTGGTCGCGAGTATGTTTTTTCCCGATAATTGTGTAGCTGCAAGCGGTATTTGCCAAAGTTACATGAGGCTACAATATATACTGGGTTTGAGCTAGCAATTATATGCGGCTAAAACATATTCGTGGCAAATGGCGAGGCTTATGGTCAGAGCGACGGTAACTGTGGGTTACACGTCTATGTATTCATCATTTTAGAGCCCAACGCTAGACCTAAAGAATAAAAAAGTTAAAGGGGAATTAAAGAATAAAGAAAAAAGAAAAAATTAAAGAAAAAAGGGAAAAGGAAAAGAAAAAAATAAAGAAAAAAATAAAAGAACAAAATAAAAGAACAAAATAAAGAAAAAAATAAAAAATAAAAAAATAAAGAAAAAAGAAAAGAAAAAAGAAAAAAGAAAAAAGAAAAGAAAAAAGAAAAGAAAAAAGAAGAAAAAATAAAATAAAAAGAACCAGGTGGGCCCTTGCTCAGAATGCGTTTTCTCATCATTCCAGACCTACACCATTTGGTCGCGCGTGTGTTTTTCCCCGATAAATGCGTAGCTGCAAGCGGTATTTGCCAAAGCTATATGAGGCTACAATATATACTGGGTTTGAGCTAGCAATTATATGCGGCTAAAACATATTCGCGGCAAATGGTGAGGCTTATGGTCAGAGTGGCGGTAACTGCGGGTTATCCGTCTGTGTATTCATCATATTAGACCCCAACGCTAGTCCTAAAAATAAAAGGTTAAAGGAGAGTTGAAAAATAAAAAATAAAAAAATAAAAGGACAAAAAAAAAAATAAAAGAACAAAAAAAAAATAAAAAAAAATAAAAGAACAAAATAAAAGAACAAAATAAAGAAAAAATAAAAGAACAAAATAAAGAAAAAATAAAAGAACAAAATAAAGAAAAAATAAAAGAACAAAATAAAGAAAAAATAAAAGAACAAAATAAAAGAACAAAATAAAGAAAAAAATAAAAAATAAAAAATAAAAAAATAAAGAAAAAAGAAAAAAGAAAAAAGAAAAAAGAAAAAAGAAAAAAAATAAAAAAAATAAAGAAAAAAGAATAAAATAAAAAAAATAAAATAAAGAAAAAAGAAAAAAGAAAAAAGAAAAAAGAAAAAAGAAAAAAATAAAAAAAATAAAGAAAAAAGAATAAAATAAAAAAAATAAAGAAAAAAGAATAAAATAAAAAAAATAAAATAAAGAAAAAAGAAAAAAGAAAAAAGAAAAAAGAAAAAAATAAAAAAAATAAAGAAAAAAGAATAAAATAAAAAAAATAAAGAAAAAAGAATAAAATAAAAAAAATAAAATAAAGAAAAAATAAAAAATAAAAAATAAAAACAATAAAAGAAAGGAAAAAAATAATAAAAATAAAAAAAGAACCCTTGCTCAGAATGCGTTTTCTCATCATTCCAGTCCTATGCCATTTGGCCACAAATATGTTTTTCCCCGATAAATGCGTAGCTGCAAGCGGTATTTGCCAAAGTTACATGAGGCTACAATATATACTGGGTTTGAGCTAGCAGTTATATGCGGCTAAAACATATTCGTGGCAAATGGTGAAGGTGCTGGTCAGAATAAGAGAGGAGTAAGTATCCAACCCTTTTTGCATTCATCATGTTATATAACTCTACAGAATCCACCGACAGAGTTCTGACGGGCACAAAGCGTATAAGGAGTAGAGGCTGTCGTAAAATCAGCGCTGTTGAAGTGAACACAGAATGCAAGTGAGAAAAGTTGATGAACCGGTAGCAAAGATTGAACCAAAGGTCGTCAGTGCCAGAGGGATTCGAAAAGTGCAATTTCTGATACACACAAGCAACAAGAGCCAAGAGACCAAATAAAGAGTTTTTTGTTTTTTCTATAATTTAGCATAGCTACAAGCCAGTGGCACAAAAGAAAGTAAACCACAATATTGTATCGCATACTCCACATTTTGATGCAGCTAGATGAACTTAGAGCTTAAAAAGCCTTGCCATCAACTAACGAAAGTCAAGCCCGCAGGCTCTCGTCAGAGCAAGCAACGGGTCTCGGCCCCATCAGGTCAACGTGGGACAAGTTCTCATGGAATCACCCGTGGAAAAAGCCCTGGCTTACAAAGATATGTCAAGAAAACCCACTTTTGCGACGCCAACCAGGAACTCTTTTACATCTGGAAGTAGTGAAAAGATGGCTAGCAAGCAATCAAAAGGAAATATGGATGGTCACAGCGTAGCATCCCAACCCAGCCGGGTATTATAGACGCAAGATGGGGTGAAGGCCGCGAACAAGGATGGGCGGATTCTGAGAGGAGCGAATAAAAATAACAATAAAAAAAAAAAAAAAAAAAAAAAAAAAAACTTCAAAAAAACTTCAATAACACTTTTCTTTTCGACTTAGCTTTGGGCCTTGGATTGGGTTGGATCCTGTTCCTGTGGATGGGAAAAGGTGGAGTGCGTCGAGAGAAAAAGAAAGAAGAAAAGAGAGGAAGGAGAAAAAGGAAAAAAAAAAAGCTTTTTATGCACCTTTTTTTGGTGGCGAAACAAGGTCATAAGTCATGTGAAATTCTTTGAACGCAAATATTCGCGTCATCTTTACTTTTATTTTTTTAAGCTCTTTTCAAAAAAGAAAGTCCTAGTACTCCTTTCTTACCTTACTCAGCTCATCACTAAACCACAATCAACAATAGCTTGCCTAGCCAATAAGATCTGGAACGCGATCTTCCATCCGTCACTTTATCGCACAATCGAGTTGTATAGTATTTATTGTATTTATTCAAATTCGGTATATTGTTTTTAATCCTTTAGTGCGAAGCAAAGTTAGGAGTATGCTGTTCCTTCATTGCGCGAAATGCCAGGGTCAGGAGCGGGAGCAGGGCTAGGACCTCTGAACATACATGCACTTATTCGTGAAACAACCCAACACGCCCAGCCCTTTTAAATATGTTTCTATTATGAAGGGGCTTCAACTGTGTTAAAGCCAAGGGAAGGGCTACTTAGCAATGGTTCTAATGGAACTATCTCGGTTCAGGTAGCCATACGCCTTTATGGCCACAACAAATCGGATGTCTCATTTCTTCGTAACAAAAGAGGGAAACCTGGCTCTGTTGACTGTCGTCACTAGCATGGCTAGTCGTCAAAGCATGTTTGCAGAGGTGGGCCTCCTCCTAAACCCCTTGTGCCACCACCAGCAATTTTATACAGAAATCAGTAGGCAGCAGCAAAGTACTGATTTAAGTCCGACATCATCTCTATCCCCAGAGTCAACAAGCGGGGCTAGGCAAATGAAACCTCAGCAAGAGTCGGTAGTCGGTGTAACATTGAAGCATTCGGAACATCCTTGTATCTGACTGGGGAGCAGGCTCGGGAGCTGATCTATATTTGATGATGCTTTGAAGGCTGTGCGTGGGTCGATAATTCTCCTTGTCTAGATTTGATACGAAGCAAGGCAACACTCTATCAAGCTTCCACATACATATAACTATGTAAGTTTAAACAATTCTTTATGTTGCGAGTAAGCTATTTTATTTTATTTTTTACTAAAAAAAAAAAGAAAAATGAAAAGACTAAAACCTAGCAAAGACAATTAGGCTATGGATAAAGTTGACAAAGGCAACGGAAGGAAACACTCACCAACAATATAAGTGTAGCCTTTTTTTTTTTTTAATAAAAAAAAAAAGCCTGGAAATTGACCTTTCAAAAAAACTTCAAAGGTGATTGTAGATTAACATGGGCCCCTTCAACAGTGACAGCGTGTTGCTTTCTTTATTTAAAATTAGTGTCTAGCAGCAACTTATAGTGTCTTCATTCCAACTAGAACATTTCATAGTCGAATGAATGATACGACTCCTCCCTTTCTCCCTCTATCCACATCTACCAGACGCTGATTACCCAGCGCTGTTTAAGTGCTCACTATGTTGGCGTCCAATAGCGACTACCTGTATGAATGCCCAGAAATACTTATTAGCACTTTTTATTTTGTTTTATATACAATCCATACAGTTTAATACTTTTTATATGTAGCCTCCCATCTCGCATCCATGAAAAGCAAATCGCAGCTTCGAGCCCTTCGAACACCGGCTTGAGGGGAGAGGTGAGGGAGCCTCCACAGAGGTATATTAATGGCTGTATTGCATCACCACCATTGCTTGTAAATGTTATCTCATATTGGCATCAAGGGATGGCGAACTTAAAAGGCCAAAAGAGAGCTTCAACAAGCACATGGATAGCGTCCACTTGGATTTGCATGAGAGGGTAGAGAAGGCTTCCAGGATTCATTCTGTTATAGTAGCAGGTCTAGTTTATGCATTACCAAATAAAACAAAAAAATGCTTCAAGGCGGATTAGGAATGAAATGTCTTCTTCAATACACAACACTTCATTTGGATATCTGACATTAACTGAAATAATAGCGCTACCCTTGTGACATTTATAAGAATAAAGAACGAATGCTTTTCGAATATATTTTTACAGTAAAGCGCTTACCCTGAGCTAGTCGCAGGCCTAAAAAGAGTCTTTCACCATATCAAGACATATCATACCACACCATGCCAAAAGAAATATCCGTATACGAAAAAGAAACTCCCACTTTTTTGAGAAGCATATTGACAGGAGTAAAATGAGTCGGTTGTGAAGATTACTTTGGCATTTTGAGTAAATAGAACACAGGGTCACTTCAAGCGGCTATTGTCTATAGCAGTGCGAGTTCCGAACGCAAGGTAGAACACTTTAGAACTCTTTATGCTTTTATTCCAGCGTAATAGCTCTTACGTATGCATTTGATAAGGGTCAAGTAATAATGCGAAACAGGTTAAAAAGAAAATAAAAAAATAAAAAAGCGATCGTATTAGCTTTCAAGCACTAGAGAGGCTATGCTTAAAAGAAAATAATAGTAATAATAATAGTAAACTCACCAAGTTTTTTTGTAATCTCCAATGGAGAAAGTCTGATTACTTCTTGTTTGGCGACTGTTCGGTGCTTACTGGTTCTCCAAGTCTGTCCTGATTTAACCGTGTTAGCAGATTTGGTTAGCATCCCTTGAACAGCTGCCGTCCAGAGAGGCTACTTAGAATGGACAGGATTCACTATGCACCAAATAGACTCACATGGTACAGACGATACCTTAGAGTATATAAGATATCGTCTATTCAGATATAAAGACCTCTCTTTGTCCTATTGAACTTCAGCTCCATAATACATAGTAAGTTATATTAATTAGGATAAAACATTGCAAGCACATAGAGTAAATGTCATTTTATATTAAAGCGTGGGGGTGTAATGGTTCAACAACCTTTGGCAAAATCGACAGTGAGACACATAGTAAAAAAGGTGAATTCCGATATGATTTTGACTTCAATTTTTGGAGAATCCAATAAGCAATCAACCTAAGATGGTCACAAATTGCAATACGCGTTTGTCCTCACGTGAGCTTCAACCTCGGACCGGTGAACTGGTGGCGAGACTGAAACAATTTATTATCATGGTGATATAAAACGTCATCCTTGCTTCGCGCATACAACTTTTTATTTTCTTTCCTCTATCACAACTTCAAAACTTTGAACCATCCTGCTACTACAATTAAATCCTTTAATATTCCTATCTAATATCCCTATTCTCTGCTCTCTGTCCATTTTCCTTTGTTTTAACAAGTTTCGAGATCACAATGGGAAACAGCGAAACATCATCACTACTTCCAAATACTCAAAATAAACCGTATGGAAAGAAAGAAGAAAGAAAAGGAGAAGCGAACGAAGGGTCTTCAAGCACTAATGAGCCCAAAATCCCCAAGCCAACCAAGCATGAGCCCAAAATCCCCGAGCCAGCCAAGCCAACAATACATTGCATTGCTGAGAGGAAAGCAAGATCTTTTGCCGTAAATATCTCTCCCGGTTGTTCAGATAAGTTGGACGTGATGACCAGCCGAACGGCATCTGTTATTGGCAAGCAGGCGCCGCAAGGTATGTATTTAGCTCTTGGTGAACTGATGATTATGTTTTCAACTGATGAAACTTATTCCTGTCCCAACACGGTCATGTGGTATCTCCTCTCTTTTTTATGTTGTTGAGATGTATCTCGGCTTAACTATTTAACTGGGGCGACTTTGGACTTCTTCTCTATAAAAGAATTTAAAAAGTCTTCCCCATGGCCGTACACATCTTCAGACTCCCACTGCTATTTTTTTCGTCCTTTCACAGCGTTGTTTTTCTTTTTTTTTTTTTTTTTTTTGTTCGTGGTTCGGGTTCATTTACATCGATCAGCTGTAGGTGCTGGTTTGATCAAATGATTATTAGAATTTTCAATTCGCGAATTGCACTCTCGACGGACTGGTTGTTGATATTTTCAGTTGATGAAGCATGTGGCAACATGATCATTGGATAGTGTATTACATCGTCATAGCTTTTATCAAAGCCCCATATCTAACTATCCTCTTGTTTATTATTCTATGGATATTAAACAGCCCCGAGATGCCCAAAAAGGGACCTAGAAGACGTAGGAGACGAGAGTTCAAGAGGTGAGTTGATCAGTCCGACTATATCTATGGTTTTGATAATTCTTGAGGATGCTCGTTTATTACATACTCACGCCATCCCACTATTCTTATATACTCAAAGAGCGCTATTCGAAACGCCGTCGCCCCTCGATACCCAAAGGACCGTTGTATACTTTAGCCAATGGGGAGACAGTATATTTGCCCAAGCTCATGACAGACATGCTCAATAGTACCTGGTGCCAGCCGAAAAGTCGCTTGAGCTTCTCATCACTGAAGAATGTTAGGGTTGGCGATCAAGTTGAGACAGAAAGACTTGGTCAACGCCCAATAGGCTTTGGAACAGGTATTCAAGGCCTCCTTGTTACCGAACAGATGATGGAATTATGGGAAGAGATGAAGAAAGAGACTGGTTTGGGGTTTGCAAAATGTTTGACTGGGCCCAAAGGGGTCGGGAAGTCCTATATAACATGGTTTCTTGCCGCTAAGGCATATGCTCACGGCTGGCCAGTTCTTTACATCGCTGACGCAAATACCCTTGCTGATTGTCAGGAGAATGTGCGGGCATCAAGAGTGATTTGTCAACGCTTCCTAGATCTCAATAAGGATATCTTGACTGCAAAAGAGCTCTCCACCATGGCAAATTGTGGGAGTGTGGAAGCTATTGCCGAGTACATATTAGGAGACTTACTCCAACAACAAGGGAAAAAGACTCTCTTCATTGTCGATGAGCATGGTGCTTTGTTTCCCGACAACGTACCTTCAGCAACAAGTAGGCTTCCTGTCCTGCGTTCTCTGGGTTGCTTCAGCACTTGGACGAGTGGTGTAAATAGTGGAGTGTGTGTTGTGTTCACGAGCACTGCAAAGTTTGAAAGGTCCGTCCTCAGGAATCCAGATTATGTCGTTGATGTCGGGCCTTTGTCGCAAGACACGTTCGAAAAACTGTTTAAAATTGCCATTGCTCGTTTCACTTTGACAACCCAAAGGACTCTCGACAGTCGTAAGGACGCTGTTATTAAGGTCACCAACCGAGTACCAGGTGATTTGACCAGCTTGGATCAGTTAATACAAGGACGACATCTCATAGTGGAGCAGATCGACCGCGGTTTAGAAGTATACGACAAAGAACACTACGATCTGTATTCCAAAAACGCAGGGGATTACTTCAACAAGCTCGAAGGACTCGTGAGGGAGCAAACTATTGAAGCGCTGATAAAAGTGCTCTTACCTGGGCTCCAGGGCCCACAACAAGGAATTTTTGAATGGGAATTCCTTGATTTAGGGTTAGTTTATCGATGGAGTGCTCAGGGCATGGCGCCTGAATATCGCCCCATTAACCAAGCTGCACGAAGGGCGATAGTGGATTTATACAAAACCCATAGCCACTAAATATAAATAAACAATTTTTATTTTATTTTATTTTATTTTTTTGCTACAAAACTATGGTGCCACAAAGATTGATCAGCATCTTCGACTTGAGCTCCGGACCAGACTAGCTTAGGGAGAGGAGGGTGGGACATTATAGGTCGGCTCCCTCGGATAATATGCTTTTCTCTTCATATTATTCGAGGACTCTTTGTAATTATCACAGCTGGAGCCGACCTATAATGTGCATCCAGAGTTTTGCCCCAGGGTGATCTCAGTAAAATTTGTTCTTGGCTGACTAGCCATGCGGTAGGAATATTGGAAAGTTTCCGGAGAAGACCAATTACCATGAGCGATGATGTCGTCAATCGATACCCCTGCTGTAGCTGCAGCTGTAGAGCCGAGTGCGCGTGGCTTGATACGTCGGGAAGCCTTTTCCGCTTCTGGGATCTTAGTTGAGATCGAGTCCATGTGATTGGAAATGATTTCTGCTGATAC